ATAGTAAAGGTAATGGATCAAACACTTATAAAGATACCATGGAGGTTAAAAGACAAAAGTAGTGAAATAAACTGTATCTACAATAATTAGTTGAGGGATATACAAAATAAAAAGATATAAAATATGTCAAAAACAAAACATAACAGAGAGGAGTAAAAATGTAGAATGTGTTCAAATTTAAGTGATCATCAACTTAAAATAGACTTCTGTATACACAGGGTATTATAATATGAACCTCATGGTAACCACAAAACAAAAACCTATAATACATACACATGCAAAAGAGAGAGAGACAGAGAGAGAGAGAGAGAGGGAGAGAAGATGTTCCTGAGTGGCTCAGTTAGTTGAGCATTTGACTCTTGATTTGGGCTCAGGTCATGATCCCAGGGATGTGGGATCAAGCCCTTTGTCAGGCTCTGTGCTGAGCATGAAGCCTGCTTGAGATTCTCTCCCTCTCTCTCTCACTCTCACTCTCACTCTTTCTCTCTCTCTCCCCCTCTGTCCCTCTTCCCAACTCTCTCTGTCTCAAATAAAAATAAATAAATAAATAAATAAATAAATAAATATCCAAATATAACACTAATAAAAATCATCAAACCACAAGGGAAAAGAGCAAGAAAGGAACAGAGAAGAAATACAAAAACAACCAGAACACAATTACTGAAATAGCAGTAGGTACATACCTATCAATAATTACTTTAAATGGACTAAACGCCCAATCAGAAGGCAAAGGGTGGCTAAATGGACCAATAAAACTCACATGACCCATCTATATGCTGCCTATAAGAGACTTAGTTCAGACCTAAAAAACACAGACTGAAAGTGAAGGAATGGAAAAAGATAGTCCACGCAAATGGAAATTAAAAGAAAGCAGGGGTAGCAATACCCCCTGTCATATAACAGAGAAAATACACTTTAAAATAAAGATCATGACAATAGACAAATAGCGCATTACATAGTAATAAAGGGATAAATCCAACAAAAGTCTCTAACAATTGTAAACATGTATGCACCCAACATAGAATTACCTAAATATATAAAGCAAATATTAACAGACATAAAGGGAGAAATTGACAATAATACAATAATAGTAGGAAACTTCCATACCCCATTTACATCAGTGGATATATCATACAGACAGAAAATCAATAAGGAAACAGTGGCCCTAAACAACACATTAGATCACATAGACCTAATAAATATATTCAGAACATCCCATCCCCAAACAGCAGAATGTACGATCTTTTCAATTGCAGATGGAACATTCTCTAGAATAAACCACATGTGGGGCGCCTGGGTGGTTCAGTCAGTTTGGCTTCTGACTTCAGCTCAGGTCATGATCTCACAGCTGGTGGGTTAGAACCCCACGTCAGGCTCTGTGCTGACAGCTTGGAGCCTGGGGCCTGCTTCGGATTCTGTGTCTCCCTCTCTCTCTCTGGCCCTCCCCTCTCATGCTCTGTCTGTCTCTCTCTCTCAAAAAATAAATAAACATTTTAAAAAACTTAAAAAAAAAGAATAAACCACATGTTAGGTCACAAAACAAGTCTCAATAAATTTAAGAAGATTGAAATCACATGAAGCATTTTTCCAAACACTAGAAATCAATTACAAGGGGAAAAAAACTATACATGTAGACCTAAATATAAGACCCGAAATCATGAAAATTGTACAAAACATGGGCAATAAACTGCTAAACACGGGTCTTAAGCAATAATTGTTTTGGATTTGTCTCCTCAGATAAGGGCAACCAAAACAAAAATAAACAAATGAAATTGCACCTACCTAAAAAGCTTCTGCATGGGGAGGGAAACCATCAACACAATGAAGACAACCTACCGAATGGGAGAAGATATATGCCAACAGTACATCCAATAAGGGGTTAATATCCAAAATATATTTAACAAAATTCACACAACCTACACCAAAACCCCCAAACAAATCCAATTAAAAAATGGGCAGAAAACCTCAATAGATATTTTCCCAAAGAAGACATCCAGATGGCCAACAGACACATGAAAAGATGTTTAATATCACTAGTCATCAGGGAAATGCAAATCGAAACCACAATGAGATAATACCTCACACTAGCCAAAATGGCTAGTATCAAGAATACATGAAATAGCCAGTGCCGGTGAGGTTGTAGAGAAAAGGGAATCCTTGTGCACTCCTGGTGGGAACATAAACTGGTGCAGCCACTGTGGAAAAAGTATGGAGGTTCCTCAAAAAACTAAAAATAGAACTACCATATCAGCCTGCATTTCCACTTCTAAGTATTTATCTGAAGAAAACAAAACGTTAACTCAAAAAGTGATATGTGCTCCTATGTTTATTGCAGCATTATGTACAGTAGTCAAGATATGGAAGCAGCCCAAGTGCCCATTAACAGATGAATAAAGAAGATGTGGCACATATATATAAAGTGGAATATTACTCACTCATAAAAAGATTGAAATCTTGCCATCTGCAACAAAAGGGACCTAGAACATATTATGCTGAATTAAATAAGTCAGAGAAAAAATAAATACCACATAATTGCACTCACGTGTGGAATCTAAACAAACAAACAAAACTAAACAGAAACAGATTCATAAATACAGAGAACAAACTGATGGTTGCTAAGAGGGAAGGGATTGGGGGGTGGGTGAAATAAGTAAAGAGGATTAAGAGGTACAAATTTATAGTTATAACACAGGTCATGAGGATATCAAGTACAGCATAGGGAATATAGTCAATAATACTTTAATAACTTTGTATGGTGACAGATGGTGACTACACTTACAATGATCACTCTGTAGTGTATATAAATGTCAAATCACTACAATGTATACATGTGTCAACTATAATTAATGTAAATAAATGTAAGTAAATAAATGAATAGAAAGAAAGTAAGAGAAAGTAGGGAGGGAGAGAGGGAGAGATGGAGGGAGAGAGGAAGGAAGGAAGGAAGGAAGGAAGGAAGGAAGGAAGGAAGGAATGAAAACATTTGGAAAACTCTAATCACATTAATTTTAGCACAATTTCAGGTTTTGTAATCCTTAATAAATCACATAATTTCATGTAAAAATGATAATCTATAGACTGTGATATCATTTCCTGACAGCAGCCAGCACCAATTCAGGACATACTTTGGGGCTAGGTAGTTTTTAAAGTATTGTGTGCATTTATCTCATTTATCATTATACATTTTTGAGATAGGCACATAATATTATTATCTCCATTTCCTAGATGAGGAAACAGGCATAGACAGTCAGTCACACAGCTATGTGAACAGTAAAACTGAGATTCAAATCCAAGCACTCTGACTCCAGGTTCCACATTTCTAACTGGTAGACTATATTGCCTCTAGAACCTGAATTTTGAGATCTTAGGCTTTTCAGGAGGATGTATGCAACTCACTAACTAGCAGTCTGCAAGTCACTGAACTATGATGAGAGATCAAATGCAATGGACCTGGGAGGGAACAGGCAGGGGTCAGAGATAGATTTTAGAGAAATTAAGTTAGAGGATCAATAAGACTTGGTGACTGATTGTACATGGGGTGTGGGGTGTAGGAAGGGTTGGGGGGGGGGGCAAGTCCAGAATGACTCTGCTTAAGAAGTAGGAACTTTGAAAGCAAGTAGGAACTATAGTAGAAAAGCAAGATTTTTGGCTTGGGATGGAGTTCAGTTTGATCCATAGACTTTGGGATATTTATGAGACACTCAGTTTGAGAAGCTGGTTAAGCAGTTTGACAAGGGAGCAGGTAATGGATGGGATGGAGTGGAGTCAAGAGAGGGTGTCCCTGTCCCTGGAATGCTGACCCATTCCTACTTACACTGAGACCATTCCTACTTGAGAAAGTTACTGTGTGAGGGATAGATGTGTGCACGTCCATGTGGGAAAAGGGGGAGGTTAACATAAAATGAGAAACATCTCCCTGACATACTGGGATGTGAAATCATGGAGAGTTAAAAGTGGAATCAGAAAACACACACACACACACACACACACACCTAGCACAAATCCTAACACTTTCCCCCCAACATAGAACTGACCATGGTCTCTGGGTTTTACATTCTGTATGTACAGACTCCACACTTGCTAACACACTCTAAGTTAAGTAAGGACCTGCACCTTCTTGACTTTGTAGTTTTTGAAGCACCCAGCACAACGTAAAGATGTCATGTTAGCAAGTCAGGAACACTTCTCACTCCTATAAGTTAAGGAACTACTTCAAAGATGCAATTAGTCCTTGAGGTTCTAGCATCATGGGGCTGGCTCAATATAAGACAACCTCATTAACAGAATAATACGCTCGCTGTTATCCCAAGAAACCAACAGAAAAACACCAGAAGCAGTGAGGGAACAAAACAAACAAAAGAATGGAGAGCCTGCACATGTGTCTGGAACCAGCTATTAGTCATGTCAGCCTCATCTGGTAGAAAGAACCCTTCACACAAAAGAATGAGATATTTTGGTTCAAGGTTCATTAAAATTTAGAGTGGTTAATTTCCTCTTTAACTTTAAGTAGCCAGAAAGAAATAATGAAAATACCAATATAACAGAGGACTTTTTTCAACTAATTTTTTTAATTGCTGAAATTTAAAATATCTATTTTTTCTAAAACTTTTTGAAATATAATCTATAAAAGAAAATTAATTAAGATGGGATGTTTAAAAAAAAAAAAAACCAAAATGCACGTCAGCTAAAATCAATGGCCCAAGTTCGATGGATTTGGACTGGGTTAAGTTTCCCAAACTAAAATGTAGAAAATAAAGATTCTCCTAGACAACACTATCAAAATAATTCCTTAATTATTATTATAACTTTTTAAAAATATAAAGCACACTCATTTGAGGCTTAATTATGAATAATTACAGCATAGCTGTAGCACTGATTAGTCAATTCACCTATCTGATATTTAGTTTTAAAATACTTATAATGACAGGAAAAAGAACAGCATTAAGGTAGGAATTCAGGCTAAGTATTTAAAAATCAACAACAAAGAATAAAATACTTACGATATGGTACTTCCAGGGGATGCCCTGTTATGTCACACCATCCAATCGGGTGGATGTCAGGGCTGTCTGCATCCATCCAGTAGTCATATTTGTGGTCCCAGCCATCAAAATGAACCTGTTGAGTAATTAGCATTTAGTAATTAGTATTTCACTCTGTCTGCATCAAAATATTAGAAATCAGACCTGTGAAATTGAGATTGAAATTGTAACAATTATACATTATAGCTGAAACAATATTTAAAATGTGCCATCAAAGGGCATTCTAATCTAACCACTAAAGACTATTGTAGTACCAATTTTTCTGAGAAATTAAAGAAGTTGGTAAACAAAAAAATCTGTTAGAGACTGATCAGAATCTGAAGGGACAATACCAATCCATTTCCCCGGCTAAGTAATACTGTAATGCTGGCGGGAGGACACCTCTTCTACTGGATGCCTCTGAAAAATCATGTCAGACACAACAACTAGAGTCACCAATTTGACATAAGTACAAGGCTTACCCTATCGGGAAATGCATCGATTTTAGAGTGAAAGGAAGCAATAAGTTTCAAAATCCTGACAACCAAGGAGAGATGGAGCCATTGAAACAATGGAGGCACAGGAGCGGATGAAATATGCTACTAAGGTAGACAGATTAATGGCTATCTTGAGAGCTGTAAAAGACAGTGTAAACTTTCAGTAAACCTGAGGAGAGATATGGCTCAGGTCCAGAAATCCAGCAAATGGTTACCACTGTTTTGGGTCTTATCTACAAAACACACATACACATACACATAATTCACATATACACATACATATAGGTCCAAGAATAAAAAATAAAACTCAATTTCTGAAACAATAATCACATACTTATTTCTGAAACTTACAAAACACTATGTTTTAGAAGTTTCATATCAGAATGAATAAACCAAATTATTTGGGCACGCAAAAAGAATAAATTTCATAACCTTACTTACTCTCTTACATATTTTCTGTTTCTATTAATTAAGTGAGGAATCCCTTTTCAACGCAGAAAAAAACCCACAATTTTTTGAAAATCAAAATTTGAATAAAAACAGCAAGATTGCTGGCATTGTAATAAACTAACTGAAACATCAGTCTGTTATGCAAGACATAGGACCACAAAAAAAGAAAAAAAGGTAAAACTGTATCTAGGAAAAAGTCCAATGCTTTTTTTTCAAGATCCGTCTTTCTTATTTAGTGGTTCTCCAAGTTTGGTTCCCTGACCATCAGCATCACCATCACCTGGACACATGTTAGAAATGCAGACTGGCAGGCCCCAACTCAACCCACTGACTCAGACACTCTACAGGACAGGGACTCACAATTTTTAAACAAGTCCTTTAGATGTATCTAATATATGCTGAAGTTTGAGAACCAACAATCTTTTTTTTTTTTTTTTTTTTTTTAACGTTTATTTATTTTTTTGGGACAGAGAGAGACAGAGCATGAACGGGGGAGGGGCAGAGAGAGAGGGAGACACAGAATCAGAAACAGGCTCCAGGCTCTGAGCCATCAGCCCAGAGCCCGACGCGGGGCTCAAACTCACGGACCGCGAGATCGTGACCTGGCTGAAGTCGGACGCTTAACCGACTGCGCCACCCAGGCGCCCCGAGAACCAACAATCTTAGGAATAACTTTGAAGAGAATATTTCTACCAAACTTAGGCTTCTGGCTGAGACAGAGTGCCCTTTCCCAGTAGTAACTATAAAACTGGACTGAATATATGAAGGGACTGTAGACACTGGACAATAGGCACCACAGATATGTAATCCCTAAGTACACCTAGATGAGCCCCAGATGTCAGCCTGTAGTCAATTTCCTGACAGCAGCACAGGGAGGAGAAACAGAGCAGTCATGCTGTGCTGAGGAGACACAGATGCAGTTCAGCACTGATGAAGCAGCTGGAAATCGGAGGACAGACACTAGAGAGAATAGAGCTACAGAGAAGGGGACGCCAGAAATCTCTGGGGGATTTTTGCACAACCTTGGTCAAGGGCTGGACTGTACATGTGCAAGGTGAGACAAGGTGAAGTGAAGAAGAGAGCATCTGATACAGAGCTGGAAGTAAAATGAAGATAGCAGAGGTCACACACACCTGGAGAGTAGAGAGACCAGAGTGTAGACATCTTAAGAATTTGACCGAGACATGCAAAAAGGCCATAATTTTCTAATAAGAACCATGTCATAGAGTAGTCTAGACCAGCCCTAAGAAAGGCCAAAATAAAACCTCAACAAGATTAAGAACAGCCATCAGTAAGTAACTGACTGACAGAACAAACTCTACCCTTTTTAAAGGAAGACAAATGCTCCCAAATCTGAATGCTGTATCATTCTTAATGTCCAACATAACATCAAAATTTATTAGACATCCAAATAAGCAGGTGAATGTGAGCCCTGCTCATTTTTTTAAAAAAGTAGTCAATAGAAAGAGACCCTGAGATGCCCCAGATGTTGTAATTAGTAGACGTGAAGTTTTTAAGTACCTATTGAAATATGTTTAATAACTTAAAGGATAAATAGTCTTGATGAGGGAACAGATAGGGAGTCTCAGCAGGGAAATGGAAACCATAAGAGATAAACAAATGGAAATTCTAGAACTGAAAAGCAAACTATTTTAAATAAAAATTTTCTGAATAGGCTTAACAGATTAGGGATGGCAGAAAAATGGGTAAGTGAACATGAAAACAGATTCATAGAAATTATTAATCTAAAGCACACAATAAAAAAATTTCAAAAATGAACAGAGGCTCAGGTACTTGTAATACAGAATCACCTGGTCTAACACATGCAATTTGGAGTCCATAATGAGAGGAGAGACAATAAAGCAGGGATAATGGTAAAACCAGACAAAAGTTGAATAAATAACATCAACAAAATCTATTTGGTCAAAAAAAAAAAAAGCCAATTTACAAGCTTAACAAAAACAGCAAAACACAAGCATAATAAATACAAAGGAAATCGGAACTACACAAATCATAGGCAAACCGCCAAAAATGAAAGACAAAAGAAAAAGTCTTGAAAGCAGCCACAGAAGTACAACACATTACATACAGGGAACCATGACAGGAATGTTAGCCAACTTCTCATCAGAAACAGAATAGACAAGAAGATAATGAAATGAGATCTTTAAAGCAGTGAGAAATTAAAAAAATATCAACCTAAGATTTTGTTTTACAAAAAAAAACTTCCCTCAAAAAGGAGTAAAATTAACTTTCAGATTAAAAAAAACAAGAAAGTATTCACATAGATTTGCATTGCAAGAAATATTATAGAAAGTATTTCAAGACTCATTCTATGAAGCCAGTATTACTTTGATTCCTAAACCAGACAGAGACCCAGTAAAAAAAGAGAACTACAGGCCAATATCCCTGATGAATATGGATGAAAAAATTCTCAATAAGATACTAGCAAATCGAATTC